TATGAGCTATAGAGAAAAATTGGCTCAAACATAACTGTGTCTGAGAAGCTTTTATTAAATGCTTCACAGAAATGTTATGTCTTCAACTGCTGCAAATGAAATAATTTTATCAAATGCATTGCCTGATACAGAACCATTTCAATTAGAGCAAGATTGTTCGGAAAATCAGAACATAGTCAAAATTTCCAATTCATAAAATTTCCAATTCAAAATTCATGATAGGCTCAAAGTAGATGATCCGGGTGTCGTTCTATTAGAGGTTTTACGGTATTTCTGAAATTGCTTTCGATGATTATTTTTGAAATTGCTTTCGATTTGAAACATGAAACAGAATGAAACGAAAATGAAACAGAAATGAAACAGAATGAAGCGTTTTTAACAACTAGAAGATTTGAAATTTACCTCTTTTTTTGAACTTTTCATCTTGGTATGCTTACAAGATATGTTTACCGAACCACAGTCAGTAAATACCTAAACAAAAAACAACGATTTCGTGATAAGTGATAAACAAGGAAGTTCAGGAAACTTATAAAAGGATTATCGTGGATCCATTTAAAACTTCCTAACAATGAGGCTAAACCTTTTATTCTTATTTTTTCTGACTCTCGTTTTATCAGATGTAGCTTTGGCCAAAGGAGCAAAGAGACCAGCACCTCGCAAAGGCGTAGGAAAAAAACCACCACCTCGCGAAAGTGGAGGAGGTGGAAGAAGAGGAGGACATGGATTCGGGTAAGGTTTTAAAGTTTTCTGTCACTATTTTGTGTTTTTCAGTGTCGAATGGTGGAGATGAATGGTGTTGCAGTACGGGAATCAGAGGATGAATGATTCCAAAATTTTTTTTTGAAGTTTCGATAAATATTTCGAAACAGCAATATTTTCCATCACATTCTAGTGTTCTTATGGTCACTTGACATAATACTCACTTTTAAGCAAACAACTGATATTTATACTTATTGAGTGATAGCAGAGTCTCATATTGTGAAATGAAACTTTTACTTATTTTCCTTACAATTCTTCTATTTTTCTGCTCATTTTCTTCTGGAATGTACGACAAGGATACTGGAGTGATTGGGAAAAGAGTGAGAATCTAGATTTGCTTTCTCAACAAAAAAGGAATGAATTTAGAAATTCAATCGACCTGGAAAGCCGGTGAAGAATGGAGGAGTTTTCAATGATGTGAAAGTTTCTGAAGAGAAGAAAAAAGAAATGGATCAGAAATCGAAAGATGAGAAAAATCACAGTTTCAAGTAATGGATTTGTATGAAAATTCGTAAAAAAATAATTTGTAGATGTTGTCTATGAATAACGTTTACTGATTGTTACGCATTGAAAGTAAACAATTTGAAGCAAAATACTTTTTAACGGTTTCAAGTACATTTTTTTAAATACATTAGTTGGTTAGTATTCGGTTGACTAACTCGTCATGAAATTCGTTGAACGTTGATTTGCTGACGCACAAAAATATCTAATTATGGATTGTAAATTTGAATGCTAAGACTTTGTCGTGGTGAAATTAAGGGAACGTTCGTTTTTCAAAAACTCATGATTCCTAATGGAAGAGACATACAGTACCGACCAATAAGATATACAAAAACCTGCTTTTCAGTTGATTTTGACCATTTTCAGGAGCTATTAGACTGTCAAGGTTCTGATTATTCTTAAAAGTTTTGAGTGTGTAAAACACCCAGCTTCAAAAATTTGATTCACAGAATTTTTTGAAAGGTCCTAGTTTTTTTCAAAATATTCTGTGAATGCGAAGTTGTCAATCTAGGTATGTTGGACACTCTCCAACGTTATCTAAGTTCCGATACATGACAGCCCAGGTTCAGAGTCCGAAAAGTAATCAAAATCTACGCTCTGAGCTACGCTGGCACAGAGCAGGATGATGCCCAAGAAAATCCCCAAACATTTTGATGTCCTTCCTCATTTTCTGTGTTTTGAATTGGAATACTTTGTGGGAGTGCCCACCTATTCTCTTAAGCACAACTTGTCCTAAAGTCGGACGCCACCTTTAACCTCCTCTCAAAAACCAATCTGGCACCAAACTTTACTGTTGACTATTTTTTCCGATGTACCTAGCACCAGTATAAATAACCAAAGTTTCCTATAGAGCTCCACTTTTTTCAAAATGAAACTGATTTCTATTTTATTCCTAATTTCTCTCCTGATTTCTGTGGCTTTGGCACAACCTCAAATTAGAATGAAGGTGATATCAAATGAGAAGAGTAGCTCCTTTTTAAATAGCGAATTCAAGAGATTGAGGCCTCTCTGGAGGAGAATTGTCAACATGGCTCACGGCAACACTCGCACTACACAACCATCCAGGTAATTGAAAATCGAGAATTTCGATAAGGTTTTTTTAGAAATCTGTCATTCGGTGCGTTTAGTTCCGATGGATCTTCGTCATTCAGGTCTGGAGATGCAGGTGGATTCAGAGGATAATTTTTTAAAGATTCCTTTAAATCAAGTCGGCTGTTCTTTTCAATAAATTTCGGTTTTTTAATTAAATGTTTCACACTTAAAAAAAAAGACTTTTTTGAAATTTTCCAAAAAAGTGATATGGAGCTCGATGTGTATTTTGAATACTTATTATTAATCTCGATAAAATTAAATCATCACTTTTATGAGTTTTGTGAAACAGGGAAATTGTCCAATTGGTCAAAAATCTAAAAAATGTTTTCCCTGAAAAATACTCAATTTACACAAATATTACATTTTTGTTGCCCACACAAAAGTAATCTTTCCAACTTTCGGAAAAGACAGAGAAAAACAAATAAACTGATATCAGGTATCACAGATAAGCGTAGGATACCAATCGGGAGTCTAAATATAGACATCAGACTAGACATTTTATAACTATTCAAAATGCAATACGTTTCTTTATATCTAGTATCGTTGTAACAATTGATTAGTTTTTGACAAACTAGTTATGGTCTTCTTCGATTTACAAGGTGATTACATATATGAGCACATCTACGCACATCTCAAAACAATCCGACTGATAGTGAGGTCTTCCGTCAGTTAAAAAAATTATTTTTTTTTTGGTATTGAATAAGTATAGAAGACCAAAAAATTCAGTATGTGGTTACAGTCATCCATATAAAGCCATTTTTTTCGTTTCTTGCTGGCCAACATACGATTAATTGGGTCGCTACCGACGGAGCTACGCGGTCGCAGAGCAGAATAACGTCCAGAAATTCCCCAAACGTTTCGATGTCTATCCTCGTTTAATGTAGTTTGAATTGAAAAAAAAAAAACTATGTGGGAGTGCCCCCAAAGTTTTGTCTTAATCAAAACTTGTCCTAAAGTCAAACGCCTCCTTTAATCTCCTCTCTAAAACCAATCTGGCACCAAACTTTACTGTTGACTATCTTCCCAATGTACGAACGAGTAAAAATACCTAAAGTTTCCTATAAAACTCCATTGTTTTAAAATGAAACTAATTTCTATTTTCTTCCTGTTTTCCCTCCTAATATCTGTGTCTTTGGCAAAATCTGAAATTAGAATGAAGGTGAGATAATCCTAGCTCTTTTTCGAAAATCGAAAATTTCAGAGGTGGTCTCCCCGCTGGTGGAGAATTTTGAACATTGCTCACGGTAACACTCGCACTACACAACCTTCCAGGTAATTGAAAATGGAGAATTCCAATAAGGTTTTTTTTTCAGAAATCTCTCATTTGATGCGTTTAGTTCCGATGGATCTTCTTCATTTAGGTATGGAGATGGAGGTGGATTCAGAAGATAATTTTTTGAAATTCACATAATTCAAATCGGCTGTTTTTATTAATGAACCTGTTTTTAAGAAAAGTTTGGCAATGAAAATTTCTGACATTTTCTTTTTGAAATTTTGCAAGAGAGACGGAGCAAGATAGACTCCTAACAAATTTAAATCATCACTTTCAGGATTTTGTGAAACAGGGCAATTGTCAAATTGATCATAAAAATCTAAAAAATGCTCTCCTCCAAAAAAATCAATTTACACAAAGATTACATTTTTTGTTGCCCACACAAAAGTAATCTTTCCAACTTTCGGACAAGACAGTGGAGGAAAACAAATAAACTGATATCAGTGTATCACAGAAAAAGCGTAGGAGACAAATCGGGAGTATAAATGTAGACATCAGACTAGACTTTTTATAACTGTTCAAAATGAAATCCATTTCGTTGTATCTAGTTTTAACATTCTCTATTGGGGCATACAGTGCTCAGTATCCGGTGAGAATAATCAGGATAAAGTCAAAAAATTTGATTTTTTCAGTCGGGTCGGAATCTTTGGTATTATTTTGAAATGTTCCGGGAGGGACACAGAAGTACTACGCAGGCACCGAGGTAAGGGTTTTGGAACTTTGAAAAGTTTTTTAGCTTCCCAAAATGATAAGGTACAGTACCAAGCCAGATCACCGTTAACACTAATACAATGTCTCCAAAATCGTCAACTTTGCGCTCCTATATATCCTTACCTGTGACAGTTATCAAAAAATGGTCAACTGATAAAATGTTTATTACAATATCAAAAATGTTTTATCAGGTGACTACTTATTGATATTCTTCACAAGAAGCGAGATATTAGGTTGGCGGGAAAGTCTTTGTCACTTTTTCAATAGTTTATTTCTCAAAGAAAAAATAACCGAATAATTAATTATATTGTCCATCATTATCAACAACATGTCTCCAACGTTCCCTCAATTTATGGATTCCATTGCGGTAGAATCCAGCCGGGCGTGAGGCAAAGTATTGTTTGAGTGCCGCTTCGACCGCTCCACGGGAATTGAAGCTTCTTCCTTCGAAGGCACGTGTCATATCGCCAAATAACCAATAGTCGGAAGGAGCAAGATCAGGAGAATACGGGGGGTGAGGGAGAACATTCCATCCATATCCCATCAGCTCCTGCTTCACTTGTTTCGAAACATGTGGGCGAGCGTTATCATGTTGATAGTACACTTTCTTGTCTTTCAGGGCCGAACGGTCGACTGCTTTCTTGAGGTTTCGTAGTTGAGTAGTGTAGAGGTCTCCAGTTATTGTTTTGCCCTCGGGCAGAAGTTCCCAGTAGATGGGGCCGTCCACTCCCCACCACACAGAGAGCATAACTTTTTTCGGATGAAGGTCGGGTTTTGGGACATCCTGTGGGCTCTCTCCTTCTCCAACCCACTGGGATTTCCTGTGGTGATTATCGTAGAAGACCCACTTCTCATCTCCGGTTATTAGCCGGTCCAGCCATCGATCGCCCGCGTGGAGAGTGAGAAGAGTAATCGAATCGTCGACTCGGCGGTCAAGGTTGGCTTGAGTCAGGTGATGAGGTATGAATCGACCAAAAAGTTTTCTCATTCCAAGAGACTTCAAACCTTCAAGGACTGTGCTATGGTGAACTCCGAATGTGACAGCTAGTTCACGGCTAGATTGAAATGGATCCGATTGCAATGCGTGCTTCAGCTTGTCCAAATCCAACTCACGGGGTCTCCCAGAGCGATCCTTTTCATCGAGCGAGAAGTCATCTTTTTCGAAACGATGGAACCAATTGCGAATAGTATTGTAGTGAGGGGCATGTGTGTTGTACACATTCTTCAAGAAAGTTTCCGAATCCTTCATCGTGGTGTGATAGGAAGAGGTAAATCAAAACATGTCTGATGTGAATAGCAGTGGGAACAAACATATCGTTTCAATTACAGATGAGGAGCAGGGAAGGAAATGGGGACTTGTTTATATGGAAGGTTCTTATCACCTTGTTATTCACTAGAGTCGATATCATACACAGCCTCCATATACGAGAACAGTGATTAAACAAACAGAGTGACAAAGACTTTCCCGCCAACCTAATAAATCGGTTTGAAAATAAAAGTTACGAGGGCCATTCTATTAGAGTGTTTACGGTAAGTTTCAAGGCTCCTGAGAAGCACTACAAAGTTGTTAATTTGTCTGAAAATTTCAGAGTATATACTCAACAAGATTAGAAATTCATATTTGTAATCGAAAACTTTTTTGTAATAACCAATGAATGCAAGATAAGCGGTTTCAAAATATTGTCATATGAAGAATTTCCAGCAAATTTTTGTTGACGAATTGATAAAAAAGATGTCAATTACAAAAATTGGTGTTCTCAATTTTTGTGAATTCTGAAATTTACAATAAATTTGACAAATTTGGCTACTTTTCAGAACTCTGAAGTTGACAATTTAAAACATTCAGAATATGAAAATTCTATTCGGTTCTATAGATTATAGAGCCAACAAATATCCTGAAAATTCTGAAAAACGAACTTTCAGAGGGTTCATTGGTCCACTTCATGGCTTAAAGAATCGTGACGATTCTTACAAATCTGGAAAAGGATTCAGAACTGGTCGTTCTGTGGAGAGGATCGTTCACTATAGAGATAGTTGGAATAAGCTAAAGAGATAGTTGGAATAAGCTAATTTAACGGTTTCAATTAATTTATTTGTTTGTTAGGATATTAAGTTTTTCAATGTACAGAGTCCTTCCCCTCTTATAAACTTGTTATATTGTTTTAAATCTATATCTTTGATTTTTTTTTCTCTGACCGCCTGGTTTTTTTTTCATATTTTTATGACCTGTTTTCCACCCACGCCTGAAATGATATGCAAATTTTGCTATAAAAAGTGTTTGCTATTCTTCTCGACATACATTTTGGTGCCTGTTGGTTACGTTAAAACTGCAACAACGTCAAATTCTATATCCCTCTTCTTTCCAACCAATTATCAATCAATCAACTCAATCAATCACGGTTATTTATACAATTTCCCGCAATCGGTGATCCTCCAAAAGGAACAAGGATCCGACCGATTCAAAGGATTCGAATCTTGAAAAAACGAATCAATCAATCGTTTGAAAAATGCACCGAAGACGAGGAGTGACACGTGGCAATAACAATACACAGGACGATGGAACGTCTCGGAAGTTGTCCAAGAAGCCATCAGAGGAAAAAGTGAACAATGATAAGAAGACAACGAAGAGAACCGGTGGCGTGTTGAGGAAAATTGGATTTTGTGAGTTTGTTAAGAGTTGGGAAGAATTGGGATTGGTTTTTGAAAGGTCTAAGTTTTTGGTCGCGTTAACTTCGAGGGTTCTACATTTTAGTAGCATTATCCTGATGATTATTTTAAGCTGGTAGTTTTGTATAGTAATTAGCATAATATTCTTAATGATTATTTCATTTAAGTCATTCTTATTTCGAAGTCTTGAAACAGCGACAAAAGAAAATTTTTTAAATTGAAATATCAATATGAACGCATTCTTCCAGTACTCCATCCTGACAAACAAGACAATGGAAGCACACTGAAACGGAAAAAGAAAAAAGGGACGGAACGAAAAAGAAGTCGTCATCAGATTGTATGGAATCCCGATAAGAAAGTGCATTTCAACATCGACAAGGCGCATGCGACCATTCCGGTAGGATTTTTAAAAAACTAAATGTTGATCAAAATTTAAGTAATTGTAAATACTCTAATAGAACGAACTAACTTTGAACCTTCATTCAATTTATCTCGGTTCCTTCAAAAGATATCAAAAAGTTGTCAACTTAATTTATTTATTTCAACGAAGGGGAGAAAACCGCTAACACGTGAAATGTCTATGAAACTAGGAGATATAACAGGGAGATACATTTGTATTAAATGGGAGATGAAGGAAAAACCGAGTTAGTAATTAGTTGAATTCAAGACAAGAAAATGTTTTAGATCACAGGAAAATAGTCGATTTTTGAAAGCCGCTGACGAGGGCTTTACCGGAAACACTTCGGCGGGTAAAGAGTTCCAACATCTGATTACTCTATTAGAGAGAAATTGAGAAGATATTTTTGTTGAGTTTTTGATAAGTGATTTGAGATAGTATTTGTGACGACGCAATGATCCAGCATGATTAAATATTTCGAAAATTGGAACCTCCATGATAATTTCTTTGGAAACAATCATTTTATACGTGTAGACCAAATCATTATAGAGCCTGCGATACTCCAAGGAACTTAGCTGACATTCTTCCAGTGCTTCAAAGTATGAAGTGTATGCCATCCTGAATTTTTTGAAAATTCTGAAAACAAATGACTTTTGCACCGATTCCAATTTTATAATATGATCCTTTAGGATTGGAGAAGTGACTATCGTTCCATATTCGAGTAAAGGGCGTATGTAAATTGTATAGCATTTCAAAAAAAACACTCCACGATGCGTTTTTTAGAATGGAAAAGAACATGTTGATCCTCTGATGTGATTTCCGAATAATCAACGAATAATGATAATGGAAACTCAGGTTACTGGAAAAGTAGATCCCAAGATCACGGACATTTTCCACAGGGGGAATCAAAGCTTGATTTAATTTGGGATTCATAACATTGGAGTTGGCATATTTTTTTGTTGAATTGAATTTGATGTATTCGCACTTTTTAGGAGCCGCTTTCATTTTCCACTTCGAGCACCAATTCTCCAATTCAATTAAATCTGCATCAATCAATCTGTCATTCGTATCATAAATTTTCAAGTCATCTGCAAACAGTAGATAGTCACTTCGAAATTTGTCACCAATACAATTAATATATAACAAGAAGAGGGTAGGCCCAAGAACAGAGCCCTGTGGGACTCCGGACAATACGCGCCTCTCCTTCGATAGTATATAATTGATTTTGACTTGAAATTTTCTGACCGTGACAAATGAATGAAGCCAATTTCTTAGTTTGGGAGATATCCCAAAGCTTTCCAACTAATGAATCAATTTGTTGATAAGTTATTTATCATAATATCACCAATAATTTATCAGTTGACGAATTTTTGATATCTCTCATAGGAACCGAGAAATTGAGCGCATAGTGCGCAAATAATGTTGGCTTCTACTAGAGAAAGTACGGTAAGTTTTGACATAATTTTGATACCGCATGCACGAGAATACAAAGACCTTCTAATTTTCAACTTTGGGCCAATTTATTTTGGTTTCTGTCAAAGATATCAAAAATTTTCAACTGATTAATGTTCTATCATAATATGACCTATATTTTATCAGTTGACGAATTTTTGCTATCTCTCATAGAAACCGAGATAAATGAGCTCAAAATGTGGGCTTTCATTAAATCAATTACAGTAATTTTGACCTACTTTTGATCTCTTCCATCTCAATTTGCAGCTCAAAGACGGCGAACCAATCACGGATATCAAGAAAAAAGTGTTCTTGAAGTTTGCGACGGAAGCTGTCAAGAAAAGTCCGCCAGAATATTCTGTAGAGTTCCTGAAACAAGTCAAACCGTACCCCGGACAACCCCTGGAACGCAAGATTTTCGACTCGAATCCAACGAAAAATCGATACAAAGATGTGATTTGTAACGATGTGACACGTGTGATTCTGAATGACGGATACGATAACGACTACATCCACGCCAACTATGTCAACGGGTTGAACACTCCATTCATCTTGACCCAAGGGCCGACGGCGGCTACCGTAGCGGATTTTTGGAGAATGATTGTTCACACGAAGACTGCGTATATTGTGATGCTTTGTGAAGTTGTGGAAGATGGAAAGGCAAAATGTGCACATTATTTTCCGGAGAAGGTTGGAGAGGCAGGCACCTATGGGCCATGGACAGTGTTGTGTTCTTTGGAAGATGCCAGTGATGCACATATTGTCAAAAGGACGTTGTCAGTGAAGAATGGGGATAACGGGAAAGAACATATCCTGAAGCATCTTCATACCAAGTCGTGGTGCGTTTTTTCTTTAAATTTCATGTCGAGTGAATAATTTTTCTGTTTTCTAACTATTATTTGTACACATCTAAAAACAGCAAAAACAGTTCAAATAGTCCGACTATCAACCCAATATTTTTTAGGCCCGACCGTTCCGTTCCCCAATCAACAATGTGTCTTCTCCGAATGCTCTACATCATCCGTACGGCTCCTGGACCAATCACTGTTCACTGTTCCGCTGGAATCGGAAGAACCGGAACTTTTGTTGCCATCGAAGCATGTCTTCAAATTTTGACCGATGGAAAAGAGCTGGATCTTTTGGCGACCTGCAAGGCGTTGAGAAGTGAAATTAGCGTTAGAGCAAACTTGCACAGTCTAGTTTTACAGACAGTCGTGCCGGAAGTATTCAAGTCGATATTCAATACATGACACTGGTCCAGGTTCTTCTGAACTATGGAAAAGACAATGGGTACTGGGAGGATTCAGATCTGGATGATGTTAGTTTTGAAGTCAATCTAGACAACGTAAATCGAAATATTATGATTAGAGATAACCAATTTTTAGCCTAGATGTTATTTCTAGTTTTCACAGTTTCATTTTTCTATATCACAAATGATCAGACAAATATCAAAATGATCGAAGTTTTGGGCTTAATTTGTTTTATTTTTGAAAAAATAAATGGAATTCCATTTCTCTTTCCAGCGCGTCGAACTCCTCACCTGGAACATTGAGCAATTCATTCAAACTCGTGGAAAAGTGGATCATATTCTGGCGACTCCTTCTACGCCGGCTCTCAACGTTGCTCCACAACCTCCAGCTCCACTTGTCCCCGTAGTTCTTCCGAAAGAGCCAACTTCTTACTGTAGTCCAGCACATAAAGCTGCAGAATGTGTGGAGAAGATTTGTGACAAGATTCTGAAACCGATCAGATCAAAGGACAAGGATCAACATGAGCACAAAGATAAGGACGTCAAGGAACAAAAATCACCGAAAGAGCACAAAGAAGAACCAAAGCTCCATCCTTTGCCCACAACGCCTTCAAAGTCATCAACAGAAGATGGGGATGATGCAGAAATGCAACCGACACAAAAATTGGATACTATCAAATTGGATACCGTCAAAAAGGAGAATGATGATGTGACGACTGGAAAACTGGGTCCATCGCCAAAAGCAGCTCTTCTAGGTACTACATCAAAAGATAGCACTGCATCGAAAGACAGTAAAGATAGTGGAACGGAATTGAATACAAAAGTGAGCAGAGAATTGGCGTTGGAAATTCATGGAAGTGAGAAAAAGAAAGGTGGAGGATCGAAGGAAGGATTCAAGTTGAAGAGAAAGGTTATGGTATCTTCAAAATGTTGGATTAAGTTTATGGTTTTCAGACGTTAGACAATCGCAGTCAGTACTTTATTTAAGGGATCGGTGTTCTTCTACAATTCAGTTGTTCTATTTTTCTCCGTGATAAAACTGTTCATGAAGATTTTTTGGGGTTTTTTTAAGTTTCATGAAATTGCCATTATGATGATAAAATTTTCACGGTCTGCTTGACATTAATTAGGGTCAGATTATGCATCCTTATAGAGAAGAATAAATTATAAGATCAAGTTTTGGAAAGTGTTTAACAATGTGTATGAAACAGCGAATGGTATGAACTTCAGTTCAAAATTCAGTACGCTCAAAATGTATTATTTATCTGACCGTACTACTTTCAGAATTTTTTCAGCATCTTTTATAGATTTTGAACCTAAAATTACAAATTTTCAAATGAAAAAGTTACATATTTTCAATCGAAAAATGATAAATTCTCTAGCTGAAACCAATAGTTTTGAGACAGTTTGAAACAATTTTTAGCTGAAATTTTCGAAACAACTCAACTTTATTCGGCTGAAAACTTTTATTTTTAATTGAAAAATGCACAAAAACTATACATTTTTAATCTGGAATTACAGGTTTTCAGCCAAAAAGAACCAACCACCAACTTCAAAATGGAAAAATCACTCATTATGAGTCGAGTTTAATCAATTTTTAGCTAAAATTTTTGATTAAAATTCAACTTTTTTTGGCTGAAATTTTCTCTCAAGATTCTGATTCTGAAATTACGGCGTACTTCGTCGAATAGAAGCGCACCCAAATCGTCAACTTCGATCTCAATAATCTCGATCCTATAAAAGGTATCAAACATTTATCAGCTGATAAAATTTTAATCACTTTATCACCAATCTTTTAACAGTATTCTCTACAGTTCTGTTATCGCAACATTGTTATGAAATGTGATCCAAATAAACGCTCAGATAAAGAGGTGTTGTTTTGGTAGGCTCAATGGAGAAACACGATGTTTTTCGTCTAAAAATTTTTCAGATATTTTTTTCTGTTTCAATTTGTTCAATTATCAAAAAAAGTTCATATGTGACGATGACTGTCCAACTCAAAAATCCAATATTTGAATATCTTCATTTCCCGAACTCAACTTTGTTTATTTGTACTGCTTACCTAATCACAGCTCTTAACAAACAGCTTAACACCCGTTTGTTTTCAAAAACAACACGTTTTTAGGTGAAAACATGTGTATAAAAGAAGAGACAATTTTTAAGGATCTCAACATTTGAGATTCAAAATGAGAATTATCTCTTTATTTTTCCTCATTCTTATTCTCCTAGTTGTCATCGCTGACTCCAAAATTGGGAGAGAGGTGAGTCTGGAAGGGTATACTTTTAATTTGATTATAGAAATTCTACAGAGAAAAGAAAAGAACCGAAGAGAGAAAAATTCCAGAGGAATATCTCGGAGTGAAACAACTCGGTCACTGCCAGAAGTCACTACTACTTTCAGTGTTAGGTGAGATAACCAAAACAACATTTTGAAAAATAAAAAAAAAGTTTAAAAGGTTGACTGTTTCAAATAAGTCATACAATTTATGTTTAAAAATTCAGATGATGTGAAAAAATTTTCCTTTAGACTTGGAAAACCGTACAGTGTAAAAACTCGTGATGATGTGACTCCTCCTCCGAATCTGTCTGGATCCAGAGCCTCGCTTCTTCGTTCAATCCGTAGAATCGATTCTCGAAGATTCGAAAATACAGAGCAGACTCGAAACAAACGACAAAACAAAGATCTTCCCCTGATTCGGAATCCGATTTCATTCCAAAGAAGTCTTCGCAACAAATTTTCTTCCTAAATAAATCCTTATTATTGCTATTTATTGACAAACTTCCGCGTAAACTCAGTTCAAATTGAAAACAAATTGAAAACAAACAATCTAGGTATTGTTTATTTTCTCAAAATGAGGAAGTGATAGAGAACAGTATAAAAGGAACGGAGAACTCATCACAAAATAACCAGTAAAATGAATATTTCTTCTATAAGCTTCTATATATTCCTGCTAATTGGAATGGCGGGATCGGAAATATTGAGAGAAGTAAGATTTTCCAAAAATTCGAGATTCCGAAAAATGATTCAATTTTAGGGATCTTTCCGAAACAACCGGAAAGTTGCTTCAGGGCGATCTAGAAGCTTTTCAAGTGCAAGAAGGTGACTTTTTGTCAAAAAAAATCGACCGTTTCGAATTCATTGTAACATCTGCTAATGAAAAGAAATTTCATTGTTTTCGTCTCTGATTCATAGTCAACATTCAAAAAACTCGAACCTGAAAATCTGAAAACCGCTTTTTTTACCTACAAAGTGCAATGAAGTCGCTTTTCAGACTTTTGCCTCGTTTGTGCGATTTTTGTAATTAAGATGTTTTTTTCGATAAAAACTGATTCTAGTGATGCTAGCGATCATATCTCTCCCGAAAAATCTGAATTCGGTTCAGAAAATTACGCAGAAAAAGACAGAAACTAATTTAAAACTGTTAATTTCGTTTATATGTACAGTATCGGTTTTGTGGCGGGGACTCGTAAATCTACACGAGCGCCCCGCGAGATTTGCAGCTGCCTGTTTTTTTTAATTCGACACTGTAAACTTCACATGAACAATCTCTATAGTTTCCGAAGGATTATCTGAATATTTGGAAACTGTGAATTTTCAAAAGAAAGTTTTAATTGAGTTTCCAAAACCAAAAGAACTTATCTAGTTTTCCAAAATATACGGTTTCAAACTGTTGGGAAAGTTCATTACAAAACTTTTTGTTAGTTTCACAATGGGCTTCATCGCTTTTTGTTGAAAAAATGTCCATTTCGAATGAATTGCGAATGTTGCTAATGAAAGCAATTTCCGTTTTCCAATACCTTCTCAGTGGAATAGTCAAATTTGTAGTCCTGAAAAAGTATTACGGAATTTTTCAATCGCTCTGAAAAGTTCAGAGTGTACTAAAAAAAGTAGAAATTCAGTTTTGTAATTGATAACTTTAACGCCGAATTCCATTCTGATCAGATATGCTGTTCGTAATTAAAAATGTGCCGAAAATGAGAGTAGAGTCACTTTAAAACCGCTTATCTCGCTGTGTTGGATTTTTTTTTACAAAAAAACCGTCATTAACAAAGCTGAAGCTCTGGTTTTCATTAGCATACTTTGAAATTTCCGGACGAATCAAAAACTTATTGACTATTTCTTTGGACACCGAAAGTTTTCCAGGTATTGTAACTCATTCGAACTTCAAATATTTGTAGTTTTCCAAAATAGACGGTTTAAAATTTTCGAGCAACTTTGCTTCAAAACCAAGGCTGTGCCACGGCCGGCCGCGGCTACAGAAAAAATATTCGAAGAAGCCGCGGCCGGCCCAGGCTAGCCGTGCGGCTTTTCACGGCCTTTTGAAATAATTGTTTCATGAGAAACATAGATTTTTTTTGAAAAGTAGGACAAAAAAAAAGAAATTATTCAAAAACTAATTGATTTTCACTTCACGCGTTTTTGATGAGGCTATCCGCGGCCGGCCTCGGCTAGCTACGGCTTTTCACGGCTTTCACAAAAAAGCCGCGGCCGGCCTCGGCCTCAAAAATCGAGCCGCGGCTGAGGCCGGCCGCGGCCAGCCGTCTTTTTGCACAGCCTGGTTCAAAACACATTTGTTTCAGTTTCAACATGGCATTGAATTTCAAAACACTGAATATTTAGCATTCGGTTTGAAAACGATTCCCCTTTTCCAGATCATTCAATGGTGGTTTCTTAAACTCATCACCCTCCTCTTTCCGAAATGATGTCTCTCGTGGACCATTCCAATCTGGAACTGGATTCCGAGGTGCCCGGTCCATCAAGCCTATAATCTACAAAACCTCTTTACTCCCCTCAATTCGTGGCTTCAACTCTTCAAAATTCAATAAAACCAAATTCATCCGAAACAAACGCCAAGATTTGCCTCTGATTCGTAGACCTAGCGCCTTCCTGAACCTTTATAATTAATCTATTTCTTGTTTCCTTGCAATAAATCTGTCTGCCACCTCCCCACACAACAGCTGTTGTTGAAACCACAAGAATTGACAGAACCAGTGTGAAGAGCAAAAAAAATGAGCATCGGGTGCTAAACGATTCAGTGATTTATGAGGAAGTGGACGGGTAGGAAGTGAATGGGGAAGAAGTTTAGAAATTTTTGTCGTTTTTTGATCTATTGCCCATCGTCTTCTGAATTCAGCGCTACTTGAGAAACACACTTTTCTGAACCTTTAAATTCTGAACATTCTGACATAACGTTTTCTGATCCTTCTAAAAACACATTTTTTAATTAAAAAGTTTCTGAAATATTGGATTCTGGTGGGACGTATTCTGATTAATTTTAAAAAATTCTAGATAGTTTTAAAATTCCTACATCCTACACTGAAATTTTCCTTTTCCAAAACTACAGTAATCCCATAAAGATCAAATTTTCGATTTTCAACAAACTACGGTCATCCGATAAAAGTAAACTTTTCAATTTCCAAAAACTACAGTAATCCCAAAAGATCCTATTTTTCCTTTAAAAAAACTACAGTAATCCAATGAAAATTCAAACTTCAAACTTTCAAAACGACAGTAACCCTATCAAAATTCAAGTTTTCAAGTTTAAAAAACTACAGCAATACTATGAAATTCAAATTTTCGTTTTTTTTCAAAAAGTGCATTAGTCTTCTAAAATGCTAATTTTCAATTCTCAATAACCACAGTCATCCCATAAATTCTAAACTGTCGTTTTTCAAAAGCTACAGTAATCCCATTCAATCCGAAATTTCCATTTTCACAAGCTACAATAATTTCATGGAATTCAACTTTTCAATTCTCAAAAACTACAGTAATCCTATCAAAATCTTTTTTTTTACTTTCAAAACTATTCTTAGTGTTTGAATCGGTTCATTATAATAAATTAATTTTTGTGAGAGAAAAAAAAGAATAAAAATACAATCTTGAGGCACTTTTTCGGGAGGAGGAATGCATGGAAACTCAAATGAATATCATTTGGAAAAAAAATTAGTGAAAAATTAGGATTAGAATCAATAAATTTTGATACTTTGTTTTTGGAATGAAATTTCAGAAAAAAGAAAACAAAAAGCCGGGCAGGGAGAAAAGAAACATAAAATTATCATTGTACACATATTATTGATTTTCCCCATATTATGGGATTTTCAAAGTGGGAATAAAAATAAGAAAAAACAAAGAAACAAGAAATTATGGCTCTACATAAACTATTTTTTTGGAAATGTATTTCATTGTATCACAGAAAATTTGAGAAAAGAATGAGATGAGAAATGAGAAAAAAAGGAATCAAGGCTGAGCTCTTCTAGCTCAAATTTTTCGATAGCTGTCCTCCAAAGTCAACCATCACAGGTTGGAACTGATCTACAAACGAGGAGCTGTTCCAATCGAAATTCGATCCAGGGAAAGAATACGTGGCAGGTGTGGTCATCAACATTGGCGGCAGGGTCTCTCTCTTAACACCCCAAACTGATGTTGGATCGATCAGCTCGATTCCAGATGTGTGGCTAGACGAGGCAGTGGACATTCCAAGGGTTGGCGTCGTGTCTCCATTTTCCTTCTTGATACGACGTTGTCCTTTTGATGAGAGCTTACGGTTTCGGGTCTGGATTCCCTCCTTTTTCATTGCCATCGGACGCTCGACCTGGAAGGAAAATCAATAAATTCCAGTTTCAGTTAATTTTTAAATTTCCAATGACAAAGTTGAACTATTACTGAAGGCTTATCAAGTTTTCTATCACAAAATTGGGTCAATTTCTAAACAAAAAGCCGTAAAACCTATAATAGAAGGACCTCCTAACTTTCAACGTTGAGCTCAATTATCCCGATTCCCATGAAAGGTATTAAAAATTGGTTCACTAGCAAAATATTGGTGACATTGCGATGAATAATTTATAAGTTGACCAATTTTTTATATCTCTCCTAGAAGCCGAGATAATTGAGCTTAAACTTGACAGTGTGGGGGAACTTCTATCAAAGGTTCTACGGTAGTCTTAAAGTGCGATTTCTTCAAAATGATTTCTATAAAATATGCGCGCTCCTTGTCTTTACATATTCAAAATTTTACAACTCCTAATGTCATAAATCTCTAATAAATCCATTTTTACAACTTCCTCTTTAGTTCCAATAATAGTTTCTAAAATAAACAGTCGGCTCCAAGATCATAGAGATTGCATCATAAAGTTTTCTTTCTCCCCCTCATCATAACCAATTATAACTATTACAATCATCTCTATAATTGCACCCACCCTCTTCAAAAATAATTATTTTAGGATGGGAGGAAGGACTTGGGAAAACTAACCGCCCTCAATCATGACACTTTAGTCATCCACCCAAAGAGTCCGTTATCTTGGCGGCATCATCGCGGTAAACTGTTTTGCTTTTGGAGGCATTATAAAGCGTCAGAGGGCAAAAAAGGAGGTAATTACATGTCGGGATGATACGATAACGGGTAGTGGAGGTAGGAAAAGAGGCATCACTAAAAAAGTTGCGCAACTCTTTTTCGCGCAGCGCGCAATATATCATGCAATTTGTCGGTGAGCGATTTAAGAAGATGGATACTGTACTTATATGGGTCATGTTGTTGTTGTTAGCAAGAAGACAGACTAAGAAGGTTAATTTGCCGTATACTGTCAAGTTTGAGCTCAATTATCTCAATCCCTATGCAAGATATCAAAAATGTGTCAACTGATAAAATATTGGGGATTTTATGATAAACAATTTATCAGTTGAACACATATCTCAGACAAGAAACGAGATAACTTGTCTAAGTTAAAATTCAGGGGCCCTTCTATTACAGGTAATCAGTTTCGAAGCTAATTTGACTAAAAGCTTAATATAGATTTATTTAAATACAGCAATTCACGCACTTCCATTCCAATTTATTCCAAATTATAAACAAACCCCTGGAAACAGTAACAATTTGTTAGTTGACAACTTTTCTATCTTTGACAGAATCCCAGATAAATTAGCTCAAATTTAAAAATTAGGGGGCCTTTCTAAATATTACAGGTTTTACGGTAGTCAGGTTTTCGAGAATTGGGGCTAGCATTTTGATGGCTGAGTTCCAGACACTTTCAAACAGATATTACCATTTAATCTTATCACAAATTTCGAACTAACCCTTGAATCCGTAAAAAATTGCTCACCTTATGAAGCTTATAGTAGAGGCCACACGCATTGCACACCGGATGCCCTTCTCCATTTCGTCTCCAGAGTGTCGTGTTGTTCGTGTGACAATTCACACACTCGATGCCAGTCCGTTTTTGCGCGTTCTGCTGATAAATGATAAACATATTAATACTGTTTTCTTTGGAATTTCGAAGATTTTATAGGTGGAAAGAGGTGTGAATTTGTGTCTATCCCCATTTGACAACCATGTCAATTGACTTTCTATGTAGACGACAGCGCCGCGCCGAATTCCCCAATGTACCGTACTTTCTCTCTATTTCTTTTCGCCGCTGCCCCGAAATGTTTGAATTTTCAGAAGGAATGAGGGAAGAGAGGCAAATAGATGGTTATCTTCATTTTCGATCCCTCTTGTTTTCCGTGGCGTTGACAACGCGACAAATTTTTGTGTGGGACAGCAGCAGTCAGCAAGTGAAATGAGGAAAATAAAATTAATTTCTACTGTAGAAAGGAACTAGAGAGAAAGATAGAGAGCGAGAGGAACATGAATTTCTCGAACATTCTCGAAGAAAATGCGCTCCGGTAGAACTAGATATGAGTTAGCACGGTGAGTTTTTCACTACCGCTGCTTCAACTTTGGATTTTTTTTCTCGAATTCTAGTCCATAGCTTTTTTTCTGTTCCATAAATTTTTAGTAAATTTCATGAAGAATATATAGAAAAAAAAAATGAATCAGATTTTTTTTTTCGTCCGTTGTACCTTAAAACGTCGCAGACTATTTCGCATTCGGTAGTGAAAAACTCACCGTGAGTTAGATAAGACATACGGGTCAGAGTGAGAAAAAATAATGTTTCAATGAAAACTTGAAAGCTTTCAAATTTTTTGTTAAGTGGTTTGATGCCTGCTAATTGATCAGGAGCACATTAGTGAGGTTTCTGGTGAAATGGAAATAAACTAGGAATCAGAATTTCGATTAAATCTTGCTAACAAAACACCATAAGCACTCAAATAGCCAATTCATCTCGGTTTTTGTGAAAGATATCAAAAAGTTGCTTACTGTCAAAATGTTTATCATAATATTAGAAACATTTTATCAGTTGATCACTTTTTGATACTTTCTGAGATATACGAGCTCAAAGTTGAAAGTTAAAGTGGCTTTTAGAGTGTTTACGGTATATTGTGCTTAACGAGAATCTACAAAGATACAACTATGAAACATTCAAAAACTCAAAAATTACCGTTTTATTGGAACAGTTAAATCCTCAATGATAAAACCTAAATTCTCAAGACACAGTAAGAATCGAAAACTATGGAAAATCCCTAATCATTAAGCTCTGCTCAATCTGTCATGTCCTATTTCGTAACCCATCAAAAAGTGATACTAGAAAGTTACGCCATACCCTAACTCATCGTGTCACTTGTTATGAAACACCGTCGTCCAGTTTTTGAAGGTCCTTCTCTTCTCCAGGACACATACCTAATTTGTCATAAGGTCTCTCTCGCTGTACGAGACGACTCTTGATCAATTGCTCAATGAGACGAAGAAGATATTATCAGCTAGTGGTTGGAGGAGGATCGGAGGTAAGAGGAAGAATACTCGCGGCCCGCCGTCTCTAATAAAAAGTCATTCTTCCAAGGTCGAGCCTCTTTTACTCTCTCTGTCATCAAGTGACAAGAAGTGATGTGATGGATTCCCTCTCTCTTTATTCTTACCTGTCTCTTTTTCGGCTTCACCAGCGGACGAGCCTGATGGTTCATCTTGAAATATAGGCCACAAGCGTTGCACAGGTAGTTTCCAGATCCGTCGCGACGCCAGAGTGGTGTGGCGTGGACTCCACAGTTGACACACTCACGATCCTCGGTACCGGCGCCCACTGAAAATAATGTTAAAGTTGGAAATTGATCTAGAACCTTTCAAAAACTCACTGTTCGCTCCTGCACTCCTGTTTGGTTTCGGCACACCGATGGTCTTGGGTGTGGATGTGGAATTGGCTGATGAGCTCGACGCGGAAGATGATCCAGATGACGTCGAACATCCATTGATTCCAGTCGGCGTCAATCCTTGTGCTCCACGTGGCAAAAGAGTAGCTGATGGTTGGATTTGTGACGACGTCGATACGATACTTCCAGTGCCGGGCAGACTTCCTTGGACAATGCTCACATTGACCTGGTTGTTGACAGTGATCCCACTGGCTGATGTGGCAGCGGCAAGGGAGTCGTAGCCGTACTGATAGATCGACGGGTTGAAGTAGTTTGGGTTTTGAGCTCCTACTGAAAATGATTGGGAGGTTATTGGGGGTGAATTTCGGAAGGAGAGGGAGGCAGGGGACCGGAGTTGAGATTCCCCATAAAGATAGTGAGGTGGTCATTTAATTTTATAGGTCTCTGTTCGGGGTTCGGATTTCGAGGAAAAGGTTAGAATGGAACAGGATGTTTCGAAAATATGGGTTACCTCCAAAAACTCCGCTATGCATCATCGTGTCCTGATTCGTAAAATCCATATCGTTTCCAGCGGCAACTGTGGTTGTTGTGTAGGGATAGTTGAGGAACATTGGGTAGCCTAGAAGAAAGAAAACATTTAGAATGAGCAGCAAAAGAAGTGTGTCATCTGAAGAGGCTCAATTTCCTAGGCAAGCCCGGAAATTGATTTGGACCCCAAAAATAAGGCAACACATAACAAAGAAGCATCCCCAGAAAGCAACTTACCAGTCGATGCGGATGTGTTGTAGTCTTTGTAGTAGTTGGCTGTAGGTGTCGCATTGTATGCGGTGAACGGAGCCGTCGCTGATGAGGTCGCTGCCGCCACTGCCGACGAAGCTGAAGACGTCGCCACAAGAGACGAAACTGCTCCAGACGACGTGGCGAGTGCAAAGTCAACTGACGACGATGACTTATTATTCTCGTAGTCCATGGTTGAGAGCTAGAAAAATAGAATATAGAGAGAAGTGAAAAAGAAAGAAGAACGAGTTGATGATGGATTATGAACGAGTAGGAAAAGAGGGAGCCCGTGGCTTAGTATGAAGAGCATCAGAATTCAGGAAGAGCAAAAAAACAAAAAAAAGAAAGGGAAATTCGGAAAGATAAGAACGTCGCCAGAGATGTGATAACATCTTGCGGTTAGACCATTATCAGGGGAGCGGGGAAGAGGGGAAATGAGATAAGGAAAATTACAGATTGAAATTGCAGATCGCCCTTGCCCATGGCCACCCTCCGAAATAGGGGTAGTGTTGGTTTTCTAGATTATCTAGGTCTATCTAGATACGGTCCTTTTTCCGTGGACTGAATCATGTGGAGGGTAGAGAAAGAGGAGGGAGAAGACTCGGCGACGGGATGGGCGGGGTCTAGCTAATTGTCTTCACGCACTGAGGAGACCAATAGACTGGCGACTGGGGGGTGGAGTCTCGAGGAAATGTCAGCCGTTGGGAAAGCAAAGGGGAGCGTGGTTTTATACCTCATCTGACTGCAGAGCATCAATGATATGATGTATGTCCATATCCAGACGGAGCAACGAGTTGAATTCTGACTCCGCATCGATTTCCGAATCGCTTCCCTTATCCTCCTGATGGTGTTCGAACGAATTGAAATTATCGAAATGGGCGTAATCCATGGCTCTCCTCGCTTTCTCACTAGAACCAAAAAAAAGAAAAAGTGGTTTGAATTCACTAACCCGCCAACCCAAAAACCCAGGGGGCCTTTTCAAAAGTTTCAATTCCAAGTCATCATACCGTTAAAATCGAAAAACCGTCGGCAGTCAAGTTTCGGACGTTCGGCGACGCCAGAATCGTCTTTCCGACGTGCCTCTCGTGACGGTGTTGTTGCAAAAATGGCGACGAATTTCGTGGGGAAAAATTCGGGAGGAGAAAAAGGGTAGAAAAAAGGTATTTTTTTGGGTGACCATCATTTTTTCGATTGCCTTCCCAGCCAGCGCCACGTTGACCGAGTAAGAAGAAAAATATAAGTACACGTGGTAAAGTTGGAAAGTGGGACGTGAAATAGATTTTTTTTTTAGAAAAAAAGAGGTTGGTTCTGGATGGGTGAAGGGTTTATAGGTCGATGGATATAAGCAGTTGAAAAAAGGGAAAAAATAAAAATCAGAGAGTCAAAAAAATCGAATACAAAAGTTGCAGCTATCTGGTCATGTGTAGATAAAAAAAGAATCGGTAGATCAAAAAAACTGTTTTTTCTAGATCTTCACATCGGAAGTTGTAAACAAAAATTTTACGATTTCAGGTGGTTCATAAATATTAGATGGTCTGGGAAAATGTGATTTCAAGCCCTCTGTAAAACCTTTAATAGAAGGCCTTCCCCTAACATTTAGGGTTGATTCAATTTATCTCGGTTCATGTTAAAGATATGAAAAAGTTGTCAATCGACAAAATGTTTATCATAATATCATTAACATTTATCAGTTGCCAACTTTTTGATATCTCTTTCATGAGCCGAGATAATTGAGCTCGAACTTGACAGCTCGAGGGCTCTTTTATTACAGGTTTTAAGGTATTTAAAAAATAGGCCTTATTATGATCGCTACTGATTAAACTAGATTTTTTAGGTCCGGCAACAGCTGGGAAGAATAAAATCGGAGATTTCGATCAGTTTATCACGAAACTGATTAAATCTTATCCAACCGACACATCGAAGGTTCAAAAAGTTTTCTGGTGGGGAAAACCCAAGCGAGAAATTGAAAGCTACAGTAACCCTGCAGATCATAAAAATTGTTTTTTAGAGTTCTAAGCCAGAAATTGGAAACTACAGTAACTCTGCAGATCAAGTTTGTTGTATTCGAATGCAAATCAATCGATATCAAGTTCAATTTAGGACCTTTTTTGATTTTTCTATAACTCTACTGTAACCCTCCAGATCAGATTATCAAAACTTGTTTACCTTCGTTCAAATGACCAAAAACTACCCTCACAACTTCTGAATCTAGAAAATTCTACCGTAACCCGTGTTGGGGGTGTCTAAAAATGTTTAGAGCAATGAAAACAGCAGGGAACGAAATAAAAACGATGTATTTTCTCTTGGATTTTTCATTTCTCTCCTTGTCTTCTCTTCGTTTTTCCATTCGCTTCTGGAATTCCCACCGGATGTTCCAGTTACAGTAGTCTTCAAGGCTCTCGAAAAGCTCATTCCTCGCTTCATTGAACACCCCATTAAATCATGGCAGGAGAGGAAACAGAAGAAGAAGAGGAAGGATGCTGCTGCTTTTTTTCATGTTTAGTGAAGAATATAAGAAGCTCTGGGGGAGGAGGAAACGGATACTAACTAGTAGGCACATCGAGGAAATTGAGTGGGATAATGAATGAGTGTATAAATTAGGCGATGTTCAGTGGAAACAATCCTATTCTTGGAATAATGGGATTTAGAAAATTCTGGTCAACCGTTCTACAGGTTCAGGTTGAAGGTTAATTTTCATGATTTCAGATATTGCATGAATGAAAAAAATGAAAAAAAACTTCGGTTTCGTCCATGCCATGAAGTACAGTTTAGGTTCAATTTACAGTGACATTAATAATGTGATTTGTGCACAACTAGTCTTTAAATTTTCTGTAGAACTACAGTAACCCGATGAAGAAGAACTAGATAGGATTGCAGAGATTCTAAAAAAAGACGTTTCAAAAAGTTCACATAAGTTGTCAGCTATATTTTGAGATGATTTTGAGATGAATTAACACCGAGATGAATGATCTTCGATGATTAGAATAGATAATACTACGACTACTGTTATCATGACAAAGTTTGACTATCGGAATCTAATCAACAAAAATCAAAGTTTTATCAAAAGTTACAGTTTCATATCTTCATCAAATTCGAACATGTGTGTTCATTATTATTATAACAGGCGGTAGCAATTATTACCCTAATATAAAATTCTCACTATTGATTCCCTAGTTTGTATAACATTAAAAAATGAAACAGCTGGACCCAAAGATCATAATGATAAAAGAAGGTGAAAACTGAGATCGGAGATTTTGATCAGATTATCACAAAACTGATAGGATCTTATCTAGACATCGAGGAAGGGAGATCAAAAAGTTTCCTTTCAGGGGAGGGTAGTCTAAATGTAAGCTTTCAAAAAATTAAAAGAACTAAAGTTATCTAAACTTGCAGATCTGAAAGATAGCGTTGAAGAATTTAAGAGGGAACTATGAACCACAAATATCACCACGAACATAAGTTAGGAATATTTAAAACTACCGTAACCCTTTAGAAAAATTATGGAATTATTATATTCTATATGCGCTGGACTTCAACAAATCCAAACAAAATTACCGCAAACCACATACCAATATTTCTCTGCCGGGATAAAAATAGGTGGTTCAGTTCGGAGAGATGAAAGCGCGGGCGCCTGTCCCCGTCTCTCTTCAAATTCTCACTTTAAATTCCTCAGCTCCAATGACACCACACGAGCTCTCCCCCTCCCCACTGATTTATCGTCTATCTTGGTGTGTTGATTGGTGTGTGACAGGACTCTCCATCTTTCCTTCTGGGTACTTTTACCGCCACCACCATCCATCCATCCCGCTTTTTTTACCGCAAACCTGTATCTCAACTCGGCAATCTCTCCTTGGAGATTTCGATCTTTCTTGGGAGAGAGTCTCGTCCGGTAGTTACGCTCCTTCTAGGCGTTTTTTATTGTCGATTGAGGTGGTTTGAGGTTTAGAAAGATGGAAGTAGGTCATTGAGCGTATGGCTTCATCACTCAGGTGCAAATTCGGTGGAATTCTCTTTGTATTCAGAAGTGAATAAATGGAGACAAAGGGGCACGGGACACGGGTATAACTGTCATTTGAATAGGTGATAACGGGAGAACAAAAAGGAGAGGATTGGGAATGTGAAGAAGGACATGAGCAGGATTGAATTTAGATCCGGGTAGGAAGATATAAGACCATGAGGGGGACGTGGAAAAATTTAGAAGATAGTTTTAGAAGCATTAAGGCAAAGAGGAACTCAGAAACAGTAAGCATCCCAATAAGCCGTCATCTTCAAGCTAATTTTTCGGAGATCATGCTAAAGTTGATAGTTGGATAGTGAGCTGTTATAACCTGTCGAACTGAAATTAGGGTTTCAAACAGTGGATAAACTCAACCAAGATTTTGAAATTCCAATGGGTGGAAATTTTTTTGGGCCCTGGAAAAGTCGAGTTGCAGGTGCTTCAAAATAGAATTAACCAGACTTTGTGAATATGTATATATTTTGAGGTTGTGGCCAGATAAGTGTTTTTTTTAATTTACTTTTCATAGAAATGATAATTTCAGTAGAGGCTTTGGAACATGATCCGATAACATTTGAAGCGTGTTTAACTCTTACATTTTTTGCTATTTCAAATTGACCACAGCCTTACCAAGAAAGTTAGTTATTGATGCTGCCATTACTAGGACACTAATAACAAGACTCAGTCAAAAAGTGAGCTCTTTGAGCCAGTTGTTCTCTGTTGGAGACTGGCTAAAGTTACTAGATTTACATTGAGATAATAAGTAGAACTAAAATTAATGTTTCAATTATTGGATAAACTAAACCAAGGTTTTGAAATTGCAATAGGAGCATATTTTTAACTAGCTCATTTTTTGAAAAATCGAGTTCCAGGTGCTCCGAAATGGACCAGATCGTACAATTAGGCATGGTGAACTTTTTGCAGCAGTTTTTTATGGCAGGATAATAATTTTTAATTTTACTGTTTCATGAACACATTAATTTAGGTCAGAGCTTTGGAACATAATAATCAAACATTGGAAGTATGTTTAATTCTTATAATTTTTTCTATTTCCAAATGACCATAATTTTACCGAGAACTTCATCTATTGATCCTACTATAAGTAAGTGTAGTTATATTCAAATACAAAACCAGGAGCAAAGCGGAGTCAAGTAATGTAGTTATGCTCAAGACTCAATCAAATTGAGCTTACTAGT